CCTGACTTTAAAGCTGGATCCGCCCCTGTAATAACCACATCGTTGAATTATTTAACGTGCAAGCTAATTTTGTCATTTGGAAATCCACGTCTTTTCGATAAGACAACTGTTTCTATACGCTTGAAGTTGAAAAATTTTTGTTTTCAACTTGATCATCAGACGTCGGATGGTTTCAGTAGCCCACTTAATACGTAAATAACTTTGTACTGGTCGCGACGAATACAATAAAACGAGGGTAACAAAATTAGAATCATTACTTTAAGTGGCATTTCATTAGTGCCATTATTGCATCGTTTCATTCGCTGCATTAGAAGACCGTTTTACCTCTTTGTTCCAAGTTTTTTTTAAATATCGGTTCTAAAAAATTGTCGAATATAAAATTTGCTGCTACATCTTCGGTTAACGTGAGACTCCTTGCACACAACTATCACATGAACGTAAAGCAMTGAAGCTTTATTTTGCGGGACCTAATTAAAATGTATGACCGTAGAGCAATTAGTGGACGTCCTAATTAGCTGTAGATAGACGCAAGTACATTGGTTATAGGAACCCAACCTTGAAAATGTTTGTGTGTATTGAACGTAATAAGTCTACGTGGAGGCTAAACAGCACATGAGTTATTTATTAGTCCCACACTGCCGGTACACAACCAGTTTTAACAATAGTGCGGTAACTAGCAAAAATGTTTCCCATTGTACTGGTGGTTAACAGGGCTTCCGGAAAGCGCATCTGTAGCAATGCATTTTAAAATTCAAAAAATATTCACATTGATAGACTATATGAAGAACATTTAATTTAGTTAAAAGACAGCATCTAGTACACTTGGGCGTCCCTACGGGACTGTCCGGTAAAAAGATGGAGTGGATCGTAACCATCTGGTCAATCTGGTCAATTTGAGTTGTTTTTTCAATTATTTTTAACCGCACTGAGTTCAGCCGATATTTTCCTTTCGGTGATGGTGAAATTCCCGAGCAAGTTCGCACCCAACTACGCCCAATGCGAAGTTCAGATTTATTAGAGACATTCGAAACGGCAAAAGGTCATGCTGTGTCAGAATGTCAAGAGAACGACCCGCACAAAAGAGCCGAGCCGAGGCATACTTAATACTTACCAGATTATTTCGTCTTTGTGGTGTGGATTTACCGGTTCCCATTTTTACCGAACGTAACCAGGTTTTGTATAGGCCGAGATCATGCAAGCCATGAAGAGTTTTTGAACCGGAGTGAGAAATCCGCATTTATTGTTCTCGGGGTTTTCAGGTCTTCAGATAACGGGATAACGGCTCATTTTACTTACTGATCATTTAACGTTCAAGAGATAAAATATGCTTAAATTAATTGAAATCACAACATAAACATAATGGGGCAGCGCCGAGAGTAGTTGGAAATTGGAAGCAGTGTAATGTTTCTTGTTCTTCAAATGTCTTCGTGTGTTAGCCAGCTGGAAAATGATCG